TAAGTTTTTACCTTTGGGTAAAAACTCGAGCAGCTTCGTGTTTAAGAGCAGTAATGATGAGTTACGTGACTTTTATTACCCAAGTCGACATAAAATAAAAGCTCCAATGAGATTCAAAATGTTTCATATTTCACTGCTTTTCACCGATGGGTGTTGAGTTCCTAGAGCTGAATGCTTTTAGAAAGCTGGATCATTTTACAGCTTTCAGACAAAGTAACTCATTTTTGTGTCCACGCTGAAGGATTTCTGTGTTAATGGAACTCCATTAAAGGGTCTGTGGAGACTTTTTTAGAAGCTCTGACAACTGCTGCAACTACTTGGTGACCAGCATTCACAAAGAAGTCTTCGAAGTGTCTCAAATCTTTAGTGGCAATACGCTCAAACCATTGGCTTTGCTGGTGTTCCATTACAAAGCTGAGACCTGTCTGTGCAAAAAACGTCATCTATCTCCAGCAAATCGCTCTCTTGTGTTTGGGACTCATCCATCCTGGACCAACTTCTGGAGAAATACTTCCAACATCTGTTGCTACATTTGAGGTACCATCGTCGACCTTACAGTTTTCCAACCAATAAAAGGTTTTGATTTGGATAAATTAGAAGTTCCCCTCACCTCTTTCTTAACCTTAATGAGTAAAAGCTGTTTTGTCACCATAAAACTTCAAAATGACGACATACACTTAAAGGATTTGTTAAATCATCGTAATTTTTCTAGTTAAATAACTGAACTTTTATCCAACAGACTGACCAGCATTATTTAGCTCTTATATCCATAAATTGTATTTAATCTTTTTCAGCTTGCCTTTATCCATGGGATTATTATCATATAATGCTAGATTGATTAGCATTAATGGCAGAGATGGCATAAAACTCTTGAAACTCCCAAACCTGCTCATGTCAATTCAAGTCGAAAGTTGAGTGGACAACACAACAAAGTACAAGCCGTAGATGCTGTGCACAAAAAAAACAAGGAATGAAAAGATTTTAGTCCCGCACCAATCTTTGTCTGGCCTATCCAATCCAGTAGGCAAATTATAAGCAGTTTATAAGCATATTATTCAATTCAATTCAATTCAATAATACTTTATTAATCCCAAAGTGAAATTAAATGTTGTTGTAGCTCATTATGCTTGTTTCATTAAGAGATGTTATAGATGCTGATGTCTGTAGGCAAGAAGGATCTCTTGCAAAGGGCCCCCCACACTGGATCTAAAGAAACTGGCCGCAGATGCTGTCCGATCCATCCACCCAGATTTGACTGGCCGCTCGGTTCCCCCAGGCTGCAGGACTGATGGACAGAAGTCCTCCCAGAGTGATGGCTACTCCTTCCAATAGCTGCCAAGCTCATCGTCGCTGCGGACAGTTGGCTGCAGGTGCCGGGGGACGATCCCAGTACTTCTGCTGTCACGAGCCACTTTTCTTGCCAGTTTCAGGATCTCCTTAGGAGATCTTACGATCTCAGTGGTTAGGCACTCAAGCACAGCCGGCAGGTAGATGGGAATGCATCCACGGAGCCTCCTTTTCAAATCATTTGAGATTTGGGGCTGTAGTTGAGATAATATTTGAGCTTTTGAGATGTTAACTGGCTGCTCCCAGTTGTAAAAATAAATAAAAAAAATAATTTAAAAAACACCTTGTTGTTATGGTTACCCATCATAACAAATGTCCAAAAGTATAAAAAAAAAGTTCCAGTAAAAATCCTTCCAGCGCCACAGCATCTGATACCAGAGGAAACAATCAGCCAAAACAATGCACC